CCTTCTTTATTTCTACAGGAGGATGTGCCTGCACCAAAGCCTTCGGTTTGGTGTTTTATCCGTTGGTAGAATTTTCGAACTTCATTCTGACTCCCGTACCTCTCGATTTGCTCACGCTCTCGTTTTTCTTGCTCTTGCTTCTTTTTTCTGAAAATACGTTTCTCCTCTCTCCTTTTCTCCCGGCAGTTCTCCATCGCATTACGTGTTGCTACTGTCCGCAGGGTGGGTCTAGGCATTAGCATGGATTTTTTAAATATATTCTTGCAGGGACTAGATTATAATTTAATTTAGATTTTTTCAAAAAATATTTTAAGGATTACTTCTATAATTTTGGAAATATAGGTATAAACATATTCTTTAATAAATTTATTTGTGTGACCTTTCTATTGATTGATGTTTAAATTTAGAAAAAATAAGCCATACATTTTTCTATGTAATCATTAAATCCTATATTTCACCAATAGCTGTTAACGACATCAATACCTGACCAAAGTCATGTGTCAAATAACTTGAACTGCATCACATCGAATATCAGTGAATAAACATCGAATATAGAACAATGAAACATTGACAGATTTGACACGCCATCTAGTCGTATTCGATTCGATAGTTTGAAAGATAATTGACAAAATTATGTGTAAATGTTGTGTTCGTGAACATTCGACGTTCAACAACAACAGTAACAATACCAACACGTTACATTTCACGCACACTTTTTGGCAGGTAGGCAAACATTCGATGAACCAAATAACTGTGGTTTCATAGGGACACTCATATGTATCTGTTTTTCACCTGTATGTATAACTGTTGAACTAACTGACATCTGAGTAAATATTGTTACACACTTGTGTATGAATGAAGTACCAACAACCTGCCAGTGACAGAGAGACAACGCTAAGATAAACAAATAAACACCATTCACTAGATAAATTGAATAAAACATGCTACATACATATAAATTGGAATTGAACAATCTCCATTAGAAATGTATGTATGTATCGTTAATCAAATGAAAGAAAAATAAAATTTAATAGACAATGGAATAAACTATTTGTGTCTGAAAATGTTTTCTTCGAAGAGAAGGAAAATTTAACAAATTGTAGGAGAAATGTTTTTAAATTCGTCTTAAAGTGAAACACGTGAATTAGTATTCCGAATGGGCCCTAAAATAGAGAATACATTTAGGAGAAGGTAATAAACATATAATTCAGGAAAATAATTTTAAAAATTGGGATTTTATTTGATAAACTTTACGTGAAATTCAAACTAAATTGATGGTACATCACAGATCGAAAATACATAAAACCAGTAAGTGGAGCAGTATAGTCGGACGGGGCCGACCATATGATACCCTAACCAACTTCGACGAAAATCTAACTATCTATGGTTCTATATTCAGAACTTGGGCAATATTTCGACTTGAAAAAAGAACACAAAGAATAATGTTTTCTGTCCACTTCATTCCAATATTATTATCTGATCATCACCGAAAATTATAGGCATTGTCCTTGACCATAACTAGAACCTCATGGTACATTTCATAGCGATCAGCGCTATATTTCCTCCCTCTAGTGGGGTAATGGGTTACTAAATAGTATATGAATAAGTAAGCAACCGTAAATATTTAAGTGTAACTCCAGCATCCGAGTACATACGCCAATATAATTGGCATCAATTTAAAGCTCAACAACTCCTTTTGGATAGACTATAAATTTCTCGTCTCTATGTCCTTCAGGAGTTAATATATACGCTATAGAATACAAATTTTGTCATTTTCCCCCTAAATATTGACCGATCTTTATCAAAATAGGCATGTTTATTCTTTGGCCCAATCCCCTTCTCCAGATTTTTGGGCCATAATTGCGGCCACTGGAACGACCAGAAAAACCGACAAAAAATAAGTATTTGGTCCATTCCATCCCTTAAATATTACCTGATCTTTACCAAAAACAATAGGGGTCTTAATTGGGCCGAACCCATCCTACATGCAAAATTTCGCGAAGATTGGTCCATAACTGTGGCCTGTATTGTGTTTACAAATTATAATGGACAGACGGACGGACACACATGTCTAGATCGACTCAGCTAGTCGAGATATGACGATCGGAATACTTAAAGGTGGATCGATGACCAATATTTCGCGGTGTTACAAACTCTTGGGGCTGCACAAAGCTATAATACCCGGACAACATAGTTGTGTAGGGTATAAAAGTCAGATATTTACAGTCGGCTCGAAGTCGTTCGGTTACAGTCGGTTAGTTGATTAGCTCTAATTTCATATTTTGGATAAATCGATTAGGAATTTTAAGTATTTTGTATGGCCACCTCATGTTGGAGTTTATAAAAAGTGCGGCCCTATCGAAGTGTTTTTATACACTCCATCTCGTTTTTCAGTTTGTAACTCGTCGAAATAATCATTCCCGACCCTACAAACATATTATTTGGTAATGGTCTCAAGTTTAGTATGTTGGATTAGGTTTAGGTGTTGCTCCCATATAACTGTACTCCCCGATTTTCAGTATCTTGTGGATATGGGATACATTTTTCAACCGCGTTGATTGTAATTTAGTTTTTTGAATTCTCATGGAGTTCCAAATCTCCCAACCAAAAATTATCAATACCCTGTCCACCATTTCGGGTAAATCCAATACCGACAGATATTTACACTCAGCTAATGGTTTGTGGAGGTCATCGGAAAAACACACTGATGTTATTATTCCCTTTATAATATTAAATTCTTGTGGGAGAGGTACCAGAAGGAGAGGGCCGACGGGTCTCTCCTTTGAACTAGATTTTATCTGGTAAAGATAATGTAAAGATGTTCGAATCGGATATTCCATTCGGCTCAATTGAATTTATAAATGTTGACCTTTTGTGTAAGAGGGGCAGAAGAAGTTGGCCAATGAGCCCCATATTCGGACACTACGGACGCATAGTAAATATTATAGGTTGTGCAAAGTTTGGTTCAAGTCGGATATATCATTAGCCTGATATTGCATTTATAAATATTGAAATTTTTGACCTTCTGTGTGGAAGGTACCATAAGCAGAGGAACAATTTGCCCGATATTAACCATATTCCAACCTAAACTAAGTTTAAGTTACGATGTCCAAAGTTTGGATGACATCGGTTACTCCCTTTGAGAGTTATTGTGCGCACCAGCCGGCGAGACAGACAGAGGGACGAACATTTGTAAATCCATTCCAAATTGTCTAAAACGGACATGGTCCAAAGAAACGTGGGGTCTAAACCACTTTTCCTCATTAGCCATAAGGCTAGGGTATAAATAGGTAACAGGCAAAAATAATCGAGATAGACACATGGTTCCTTTTGAGAATATGCATAGAATCACTTTCTAAGTCGATTTATGCATGTCCGTCCGTCCGTCTGTCTGTCCATGTTAAATTGTAAAAAAAGTACAGGTCGCATTTATTATCCGAATTGGATGAAAATTGGCATAGGTCACTTATTCGGCCCAAGGACGAACCCTATGGATATTGGGAAAAATCGGTTCAGATTTAGATATAGCTCCCATATATATATTTAACCGATTTAATGTAAACGGTCCCTATATATTTTTTTCGATTTGCACGAAATTTGGTACAGCCTAATCATTTAGGTCTAGAATGATGTCTGCCAATTTTCGTGAAAATCGGTCCAGATTTAAATATAGCTCCCATATATAGTTTCGTCCGATTTCATGTAAATGGTGCACCAAAATCCCTATATATCCTTCGATTTCCACCAAATTTGGCATAACGTACTGAATTGAGCCTAGAGTGATGTCTGCCAAGTTTTGGGAAAATCGGCCCAGATTTAGATATAGCTCCCATATACAGTTTCGTCCGATTTCATGTAAATGGTGCACCAAAGTCCCTATATATCCTTCGATTTGCAAGAGATTTGGCATAACGTACTGAATTAAGCCTAGAGTGATGTCTGCCAAGTTTCGAGAAAATCGGTCCAGATTTCTATATAGCTCCTATATAGCTTTGTGTAAATGGTTTAAAACAGCTTTATGGTCGATTTTTAGCTCCTAGGCGATATTACGACTGCTAACATGCCGGTCCACTTCGATAATTTTTCCGATTTTATGGACATTTTCATTCCAATTTATATATATATATATACATATATCGGTTCTCTGTTTTGGGCCTTGGGATTCTTGAGATTAGCTGAAAGTGCAAATTTCTTGCATATTTTGGGTTAAGAAATCCGCGTTGATAAACACTTTATAGAGAAAATTTTGCTATTTCTAGTTATGTGTTAAAATTATAGCTCTTTTCAAACATACGCTATATATTAGGTTGGGGAAAAATAAATTATTTTTATATGAACTATAGGACTTCATTTAACATGGTTCGGAATGTCCGATTTGGGCCAAATATGCACCGTTCTGTTGTGTGATTTGTTGCCATTTTAAAGGCATTCCTCGATCATTTCTCCCGTTTTTTCAAGATTTTCGACGCTCGCCCTATCTTTGCGAGGGGCATCACTAATCTCAAAATTTCCTGAACGGAATCTACGAAAATAAAATTGCACATAATTGCCTGTTACTGTATCGGAACCATAAACACCATTCTCAATTTTACGCACTTGTCTTGCATTTTCGCCTTTGTCAACTGTGAAATGAACCGAATTTTTTCTTTGTTCACTTCCATTTTTAACACCCTATGTAACTCACAACTGAATGCACCAAACAAAAAACAGCAATTTTTTTGATACTGTGAAATGTCAGTCTTCCCAGGAGCATAAATCTGAAATTATTTGATTGATACTTTACGATAAATCTATCAGTGTAGCCATCTGCCGAAAAAATAATGGATTTTATTTTCCTCAACATAACATTTCCCTAAATTTGGCACTATTTAGTACTTTTCGAATTTTTAGAATCAACTCTTTACAACACTACCATCCAAAAATAGTAACTCAATCGTAACGATATAGTTTTTTATAAAATATTATTTATTTATTCTACAGTTTTTATATAACATAAATATTTAATACCAATCTTTATATGGTAGGGATACTTCATGATCCGGTTCCAAACCACATGGTCGCTTCAATTCCTGGCCCTTTGTACTGAACCATTCATTGCAAACTGCAAAAGGGAATAATTACATATTAAAATATTTCTTAGCGAAAATTAAAAAAATCACAATACATACTCCATTTGGAACCTTGCAAGACAGGACAGCCAGCATGCAATGTGCGATAATCTCCTTGAAGAGATTTGTGGAAATTATACCATACAACCATGCTACCTTTTATGGGTGGTACAGCCAAGCGTAATATGGGAAATGCGGTGGCGCCACCCAATTCCACATGATTGATCTAAAGCAAAGAAATAAAAAGAGATTCAAAATAATTTGCACATTTTGTTATATTTTTCAAATATACTTACATAAAATAAAGCGGTGAGTATGCGATTGCCTTTTTGGAAATCCTCTATGACGCCCTGAAAAGATTTTTGTATTTTCCGATTATAATTCAATAATTAAATATATAAGGACATTAGCTCACCGAATGAAAATCATGATGTGGTCCGTAGTGTCCTGCAATTCCATAGTTGGCAACTTGCAGTTCTTCTCCAGTTTCGATAGTCAGACCCGTCATATCCTCCAAACGTTGTGCAATGGGATCCAAAAATCTATGTTCTTTAAAATCTAACCATGAATTTTTACTAACACGTATCTCATCGTATCTGGAATCTGCATTACCCCCGACTTTCGATCTTTCAATAGAGTCCTCAACAGAAGAGATAATTTGATCAATTTCATTGTCATAAATCACTTCGTGATAGAAGGCAACAAAGGGATCTGCACTTAGTTCTTCCATTTTAAATGGACCCAAAAAATAATAGGGCACATTATTTGTGACATAACGACAACGAAGATGGCGTTTTTCTTGTGGCGTCTGTTCCACCTCACCGCTACAAACTTGATTATAAAGACGTTCTATTTCGGATGCAGTTTCTACCGGTTTATCCAATACACGTTTACGTCTCTCTTCTATTAAGCCATTGGCAAATAGTTGTTTATTTGTCAGACCATAGTAATTCTGTGGATCAAGTTTAAGTAGCTTGTCATTGAGAAGAGCAGCCGCCTTTCGGTTGCCAGCGTGGTACAAGACCGAAGGTAAATATTCCAAAATTTGTTCAGCTGTCACATAGGGATATATACCATATTCATTGTCCAAGTTATTGTTGAAATCATCTTCGTCTATATTTTCTTCAACTGTCATATCGTCCTGAATATCATCTTCCTTAAACATATCGATATTTTCAAAAATATCCTCAAAATAATCTTCATCACCATATGTCTCATCTTTCTCACTGCACTTTGTCGAATCGTCCAACTCTTTCACCAATTTATCTTCTGACTCATCTTCAGTCATCTCTTGATCTTTTTCCTTGGCTTCTGACAACTTTTCCAACTCGTTCACCTTTGCTGACTCCTCATCTTCTGTCTTATCTTTAATCATCTCCTCACCATTTTCACTGTCTTCTAACATCGCTTCCAGTTCCTCCACCTTTGTGAGGGCTTCCAGCAACCACTCACTTGCCAATTTATGCTCACCAGCTTCGAAAAGATTTACACCCAAAATATAACAATTAAATGCAGACATCGCTGAACTATATTTGTGACCCAGCAGAACACCCCTCGCCATATCATCAGTCTCTAGTTTATACATTTTCTGTAGACGAGCAAATCCCAATGAGGCACCACGTAAATCATCGCCGGTGGGTAGATTGTGAGTGTTTGGTAGTAATGTTGAGTCATTGTAAACTGTAATAAACATTTGAAATATAAGAATTTTACATTTTCGACATTATTTTGAAATGACATACCTCGTAAATTACTTATATCTGTTGTTAATTTTGTCAATTGTGGCACATCAGCAACAACTCTTCGTATAATTTTAAATGCATTGATGGGATCCTCCAATAGTTCTGTGCTATTGTAATTCTCTTTGGTGTGTTCATGGTCAAGTTCATTCAGGAGGCTATAATTAAAGGAAATAGTAGTTACAAGAAAATAAAGTACAAATGAGGCAATAATTCAGGAAATATTTTTAGAAGTTCGTCTATAATATATAGACTAATCATTGCCGATATTTCGCATAGAATTCGATTTGGTTTAATTAATGTCAGAGATATTCTATTAAAAAAAAAAATCATCCCGAAACTCAGGACAGATTTTCTTTAAAAATCATCAGAAAATAGATGTTAAGGCTAACAATCCAGGAACAGAAGTCTACTTTCATAAAAAAAAACAAGAAAGTCAGAAAATTGAATCCTCAACTATTTTTCTATTGAAATAAGTACTCAGTCCTTTGAGTTAATCTCCACATTAAGTTCTAAAAAATTGAGATTTAATTTTTAGTAGAATCAGTCTTCAGATATTCATATTTTTGTTTAAAAAGAATTCTCAAGAAGTGAGATTTCCAAAAAAATAATAAAAAGATCAGAAAATGAGGTGTGATAACTCCATTAAAAATTCGCATACTCTTTTTTTCAAATTGTGAGGCAACTTATTCCGGTACTTCATATTAAAGTCGATCTATAGAAACTGATACATGCCAAGAAATACGCAGAAGAATTCATGATTCATGATTCTTCTTTTGAAACATTCACAAGACAGGTATTTTTACCCTCGGCCTTCTGGCTAATGAGGGTATCAGATTTACAAATGTCTGTCCGTCTTTCTGTCTGGCCGTCTAACCGATTTCATCCAAACTTTGCACATCGTAATGGGGAATATCGTCCCACTCTTTGTGGAACTTCTCTCACAAAATGGTCAAGTGCGAATATGAGACCCATTGGTCCACTACTTCTGGTACCTCACCCACAAATAGTCAATATTTTAAATATTAATAAATCCAAGATCAGGCGAAAAGTGTTCAATGGACACTTTTTTCAAAGGATTATAAAGGATTAAATGTTTGTTTTCTCTTTTAAAAAAGAAAATCCAACAGGACAGCGGCAAAATTTTTTTTGATTTAATCTACACTAATTCAAGAAAATACAAAATTTCAGGTGAAAAAAATTGAAAACATAGCCGATTTATTGTGTCAGCATCAAGTGACGGCTGTTTTGTCAAACTTTAAACGCGTTTTTCTCTAATGCGAATGGCGGGCACGATAACTCATAAACTAATAATCCAATCGATTCCAAATTTTTACAAAGTGTATCCTCGTATGAACTGTGTAAAGCCAATCGGTGAAGATCTTCCTATTTTTTAATTTTTTAACTTGGTTTTTAGTCTAAAATCGGCGATTTTCCAAAAATATTTTTTCAAAGGTCGCCATTTTGTTAATTTTAGAGCGAAGTCAATAATCCTAGTTCATACGAGAGCCAGACATGTACTCTTTCTAACACCGTTGGAATTTTCGGATTCCGATGTTTCAGTGAGGAGTTAACATGCCCGCCATCAAAAATAAGGACTTTTCTTTAATTACAAAAAAACAACAGAACAATAACAAACATTTTTTGTAAATTATTTTTCTTCTCTTTTAAATCTTCAAATATATATGTGCAAAGTTACAAATCTTAACAAGCATTGGTATTGATTTAGCAGCCCATTGAAAATCTTGAAAAAATGAAATCGCGAATAATAAGTGGGCCACACACCTCAAATTTTTTTGTGAAGCTCCCAGCCCACACACGTCAAACGGATCCATTAAACTTAATTTCAACTTAATTTAAACTTAAAATTTCCGGGAAAAAACATTTTTATTTGCCACACAGTAGAATATGAGTAAAACCATCAAAAAATCTTCCAAATACATATGTATTGCATTTGTCCGCTGATCCGCACTCCACCAAATTCTAGGAAGTCTGATTTGTTTCTAATACAAAAATTTTTCAGCGACTGAAATCTAAGTTTTTTTACCTCCGATTCATGTATTTGTAATTTGTATGCCCTCAGCCGTAAGGGTATAGACCCCATATTTCTTTGGACCAAATCCGCCGCACGGAAACTCTCGAAGGGTATAATCTTAAAAACTTAGCACATCTTAATATTTTCTCTAAACTTACTTCAAGTTAGAATATGGGGAATATCGGTCCAATACTTCTTATCCCTTTCAGTGTCAAAAAAAAATTTTTGTCAGAATAAAATTCTAAAATTTTGTATTTAAGATCATATAAAGGCACAGAGTTTAGAAAAAAAATACAATTCTCATTTTGACCCTCGGACAGTTTTTTCTGTCTTTCAGCAAAAACAAAAACATCAATTGTAACGGTACATAGGATAACCGAAAAATCGCAAAGAAAGAGAGTAATTTTAAATGTCGAATATATTCGACAAAAACACTGAAAGTGTTATACATCCCTCACAAAATGATCTAAATATAATATCATTCGAACGGACTATGCGTTTTCAACCAAACTTTGTACAACCTAGTATCTTTACCAAGCCTAGATTTAGTAAGAAGATGGGATCCATTGGTCCACTTCCTACAAAAAGGTCACGGTTTTCAATATTTATATATCCAATATCAGGTGTATGGAATATCCGATTGGAACCAAACTTTCCACAACCTAATATATTTACCAAACCTAGATAAAGCCCGAAGCTGGGATCCGTCTGTCCTCTTTTATAAACATGTAGATTATAAAGCAAATAATAAAACCTGTGTGAAACTCCGAAGAACTTCGCAAACCAAAGCCTGAGTGTATATATCTGTCTGAATCTTTTTTATTTGTTTTTATTTAAAGGAGAAGCCCCACAACCCAATGTGGGTCAATTATTCATATAGAAACAGCAGGTCGTATATTTTCTATATAAAGCATATATTAGGTCAGATTTTTTTCTATACAAGAACTTAGATTTTTTTGTAAATCAAGTCGCAGTCTAACTTTTTTCTATAGATAAAATAAATCTCAAGAAGAGAAATTCGATTTTTAAGCACAAATCGTGAGAACTGTCATCTGATTATTCTATTCTTATTGAAAATAACTTTTCTGTGGCAACTAGGGTTTCAATTTGTTCCTGTAGACAAATAAATCTTCCGGAACTAATTTGTTATAGGTACAAAGATAAAAATTCTTTAGGATTTTAGGATGATTTTTTTTCTATATTAAAAATTCTTCTGGAACTCAAATGTGATTATTTGACGAACATTTTCAATGAAGGCCAATTTTTTCTCAGAAATCTTTGAAGATCCGTTCCGTTATCGGAATTTGGTATTTCGGATATTTCTCAGACAATTTTCGGCTTCTTTGAGGATAAAAATATATTTGGAGAACATTTTCGATATTGGTTCATGTTTTCAATGACCTTCATTCCGGATTCGATAACTAAACTTGTCGCGTAATGGCGGATGTGTAGGTTCACGACCTGCCTTTCCTTTTCATTGTTAAAGTTTTCAGAACCGAGGAAATGTTTCTTTCAATCACAACCGAGAAGACATTTTTCCCTGTAGAATAAATACTCTAGACCTCGGGACAATTTTGTTTTGCTGTAGAACAAAAGCACATTTGTTATAGATAATTTTTTTATATATAAATCTCTCTGACTAAGTTATTACTGAGGACTTTTTCAATAGAAAAAATAACGTTGTTTCTAATATTTGTCCTGTAAAGAAAATATTACAGAAATAGCATAGGACGGTTTTTATGGAAAATATCCTCAGCATTAATTGGATCTGATGTTATCCATAGTAATTACCCAGATCTATTTTTTCTCAAGTACCTGAGTTTTTACTTCACTTTAAGCTTCCTTGTGTTATTTTTAATTTATTCCTTTACCTCTTAAATTGTTCGTGTAATATTTCCACTTGATTTAAATGTTTCTCCATAGCTTCCATATAGTGACTTTCGAGATCCAGTAATTCTTCCAATCCCGATATTGATGTATAAAAATCACAGTTACTGTTGCCAACCAAAATGGTAAAAACTACTATTATTTTTAAAATATTTTGTACAAAATTCATTTTGTTGAAGGGCTCTCTTAAGCCGCCTATGTTACTCTATTCAACGATAAATTAAAACTAAATTCGGGAGAGTAGGAAAAATTTAAATTAGGTAAAAACTTATAGAAGGAAATGCGTAGAGTAATGTATAGACAGGTGTTTTTTGACTTAGACAATTTTGTTGACAACTTATTTGGGATAGATCAATAAATGGATCATCGCGTGTTGACTTACTATTTATTTAGGTCGTGTGGTCGTGCAAGTGACATTTATGAATTGAAAAGAAAGTGTGGTATAAGCCAACATAAATAATTTCTTTCCGGGATTTAATATGTAAGGTTTTTGACATAATTGAAAAATATAAAAAAATGTGTGTATCAATTCTCATAAACCAATACTTAAGCAACCAGCAAGCACACCCTATGTACATCATTTCTTCGTAACGAATACTCCTAACCAAATTAATGTATCAAATGCAATATAGATTTTGTGAGTATTTATATCGTATATTTGCTATAGAAATCATGTGGAACTAAGATATGATTTTTATACCCTACACAACTATGTTGTTAGGGTATTATAGCTTTGTGCAGCCCCAAGTTTGTAACGCCGCGAAATATTGGTCCTAGACCTTTAAGTATACCGATCATCATATCTCGACTAGCTGAATCGATCTAGACATGTGTGTCCGTCCGTCTGTCCATTATAACTTGTAAACACGATACAGGCCACAGTTATGGACCAATCTTCACGAAATTTTGCATGTAGGATGGGTTCTGGTCAATGAAGACCCCTATTGGTTTTGATAAAGATCGGTTAATATTAAGGGGATGAAATGGACCAAATACTTAATTTTTGTCGATTTTTCTGGTCGCTCCAGAGGCCGCAGTTATGGTCCGAACATCGTGAAATTTTACATCGAGGGATCGGGCCAATGAATAAGCTTGCCTATTTTGATAACGATCGGTCAATATTTAGCGGGTCAAATGGACCCTGACTTTTGTGTGAAAACTTGCAAAAAATTTATTCTGGGGCGTATATACTTGCTCCTGGAGGACATATACCCGAGAAGTTGCTTTTCGTGGTAGTTGTGTAGGGTATCATATGATCGGCCCATCCGACTATACTGTTCCGCTCACTGTTTTTTTTTTTCTATAAAAGAAATCCTCAAGAGATATGTTTTTTCATACAGCTCTCCTTCTTCCGAAGGTCCGAATTATTTCTATAGAAAACATGTTCATTGTCCAAGGGCTGAGATTTTCATCAACAAAGGCCTGCCTGTTTTGATTTTTAAGGTCTAATTTTTTCTGAGTAAAGCCCACAGAAGAAAAGAATTCTCGAAAATTATATTATGAATGCTCAGGAACTGGAGATTTGTATTTTACCAATAGCTCTACATCTTCCTTAGAAAGCAATTCTTAGAAGCTGAGTTTCTTAAAAATACAAGTTGAATTTTCGTCGGGAACTACTGCTTTTCTTCGATTGAAAATATTCATTGTTCCAGAAATCCTCAGGAACTAAGGTCTAAAAAAAACTCAGAAATTGAGGTCAAAGTTTTACCTAAAGAAAAAATCGTTGTAATTTAGGTCTAAACGTAAAATGCTTCCCAATTTGTTAAATATCTCTAATTTTTTATTAATTCCCATTAAAATAATACAACCACCAAATCGTAATAATCACCACTCACTAATCTGAACAATTTATATTGAAACCCTACGCCTAAACGAAATATCTAGAATCTGGTAGACACTTCAATTAAGTGACGAACATAGTTTAGCATTTTTTTTGCTAATAACAAAACACTAAATATTACTTTGTTGTATTTTTAATTATTTTTTAGCGTTTAAACTGAAACATGTTATTGCAATAGATAAGACATTAAAAAAGTACGAAAAAGTAGACGTGCGGAATCTTATCAACGTGCTGAAAACACTTATTGAAAGGCCTCCCCCATTTTCAAATGACTAAATTTTGATTTTCATTGCGAGTTGTTTACAGACTTTTGACGTTTAGGCATCATATGCCGTTGTTCTCGAAGTTGTTAATATGTCTAACGACTGGCATTTAAATATTGTAATTGTTGTTATTACAATTTTGTTCGCGCATGCATTCGTACAATCAGAAAATGTCGAAGAAAAAAGTTTTGCCACTTCAGTAGCGGGTTTGGAACAATTGTTATTGACGGAACAGATTTTAATTGAAAATGTTGACAACTATGCTGATCGGTTGCAAGCAAAAGTGAATTCATTGAAAAAGTGAGAGTGAAGAAATGATAAAAGTTAAAAAATAAATAAACAGTTTTTTTATAAAAAAAAAACAAGAAAGTATGTTCAAAATATAAAAAATTACATGATATCTTATATGTTGTAAATGCTGCCAAGAGAGTTCGATAATTCCCTAGGACCTGGTAAACATAATGGATATGTCGCGAGTCTTGAATATGTTCCGTGAATAAATTATTTACCTCCTAAGGTCCCACAATGCCAAATTATATAGGATTTGGTATAAATCGTAACGTGAAACAGTATTGATAATTTTGGTAGGACAAAGTCATATCCTTAGAGAAAATCAGATATCAAATTGATCCTAGCTAAAACTCCAAAATTGGGGAAATAACATTGGAGTTAGCCCAAACTGTTGCCTAATGCGGGTAATATTTTACATGGTGAGATGCTACTCGACGAAAACAAATTAAAGCCAATTTGGTTGAAAAGCATGACGAAAATCTCAAATATACGTGAACGAAATATCCCATTATCGCCACCTTTTGGTGGAGGTTGTGAAAACCCCAGACGCGAAGATATTCTTTGGAAATTTCAGCATACATTCGATATTCTATGAACTCGTACATGGGCGTAACGACGGTTTCTTCTTTTTGGATCCATAACAATTTGAAAATAATCGCTAAAAGAACGGCTTAAGTCGAACCGTGCAATGACATTTTTAAGGAATATGTTCGTGGTGCTTCAAAAACAATCATGGATCTATGCAAATGAACCATAACTAAACAGGAATCGATCGTGTTTGTCTTCGAAGACAAGGGAAATCTAACGAAAGTTGCTCATGGAAGGAGCACTTCAAAGTCAATAGTTTTCGGTTTTATTTTTTGGCAAACTATCATAAGTCGATTGTTCCGCTTGAGAAATTATTTGATAGCCTGCCTCACACAACGGCTCAAACCAGCAGTTTTTTTAGCTGGCTTGTGACAGAACTTTCGTTCCATAGGCCGAGCTTAAAAAAGATTTCCAGGCGCGTCGGTCTTATCTAGTACAAAATTAAAAAAAAATCGATGTTGCAAACATGAATATACTGTAAAAAAATCATTTCGGGGATCATGGGATGATATGGCATCCCATTACCTGTCTACGTGGTATATTGGTGCTATACCAAATCATGGAACGATTACCAATACCAAACATTCTGGGAGTAGTAGCAATGTATGTGCAAACTTTCAGAGCTCTTTTCTTATGGGGTCTACTATAAATATTTCGAGGTGTTGCAAATGAAATGCTTCTCAGGAACTGATATATAAAAACTCATTAGATTTTGTAAAATTCTTTTTTAGTAACTTAGAAAAAAACCAAACTAACTGAAGTCAATTTTTTTGGAGCTAACATAGCACAGTTTTTTTTTCCTAAAAACTAAAAATCACAACAAATCGGCGACTGGAACTGAGAAAAAATTTTTTCTTTTCAAAAAACCGTTCATTTTTGCAAATCTTAACCGATATGTGTATTAAATGTATCATTCCGCTTGCAACGTATCGAAAAAATTATGCATTGATTTAGCCATGTCCGTTGATTTAGCTATGTCACGACAGAGATCGCAATATTTAAGATAGAGTTCTGAACATTTTCACATACATTTTTATCAAAAATATCGTTATCGGTCTATCGATTTTTAGTTTTGCCCCATTTACTGGTACTCCCCATTATTCCTTTTTTGGTTAATTGATTCTTATTTACAACTTCTAATTCTAATTGAATTGCGAATATCTCTACCAAAAATCATCGATATCGTCCCACTTTTAAAGATAACATACGTAATGATGTATTCGATCGGAAAGTTTAGAAGAGTGTACATATATTCTAAAATTGTTTAGTAATATTAGAGACGCAAATATGAGTCAACGATCATAAAAAGATGCACAGAATCGAAATTTATATTTAGTGAGCATTAAAATCCAGTTTCCCGGTTGCTTCGCTATCCGGATTAACAAAGTTTTTAACATTTTTCTTTAGTTTAGTGCAACAATTAAAGGTCGAAAATGAGAAAGGTTTACAAAATACCGAAAAATATCTACATAATCCATTAAATGGGTACTCTCTAATACGACGAATGCATAATGATTGGACCCATATTGAAATGTATATGACACGACCAGTTGGGGAAGGTAAGTGTTTCATTTATTTTAAGTAATACATTTTCAATGTCTAATTATAGTCTCATATAGACCATATAAATGTTATACGAAAATATCGGCCAGAAATGCCAACATCAACGGATATAACTGAAGCATCTGAGGCTGTATATCGTCTGCAGTGGACATATGATATGGAAATTAAAGATGTAGTGAGCGGAATATTAAATGGCAAACAATATGAGTGAGTTTCAATAAAAGAATACAAACATATACGAAATACCGCGAATACTTATATGTTCTATATGCTCGATACAAATTGGAAAAAGAGTACAAAATTTCCTGGGTATGTGAAATAGAAGGGATTGTAGAACAGATGGGTATTGATCAGTAGTATGCATATTACATTAAGTATTAATAATGACTTTTTAATGAAATAGCGCCAAATTAAATTCCATCGATTCCTATTTCATGGGACTACATATGTATGGAAAGAAAATTTATCATTTAGCTGTGGAATGGTTTAAAAATGCATTGGAGACCTATGCGGATTCCGAATTTAATGATATAATAAATTATAATCTGCCGAATGTATATAGCATGTATGCTGAATCTTTAACTCAAGTTTGTAAGTAACATGTTTTTAAAATTTTTTTTTAAAAATTGGACCTTAAAATATAAATATATTTTTTTACAGATAACTTTAAGGAAGCCGCCAGTGCAATGGAAAAGGCTTGCAAGCTATTTCCCGAAGATGCAGAATTACTAAGTCGTAAAAATGATATAGAAATGCGAGCTAAGCTGTATAATGGACCACCTATAATAGTAAAGTATACACAGTGTATAAATATTGTATTGTATATTTATACCCTACACAACTATGTTGTCAGGGTATTATAGTTTTGTGCAGCCCCAAAAGTTTGTAACGCCGCGAAATATTGTTCCTAGACCCACCTTTAAGTATACCGATCGTCATATATCGACTAGCTGAGTCGATCTAGACATGTGTGTCCGTCCGTCCGTCTGTCCATTATAATTTGTAAACACGATACAGGGTACAGTTATGGTCCAATCTTCACGAAATTTTGCATGTAGGATAAGTTGTGGCCAATATTTAGGGGATGAAATGGACCAAAAACTTTATTTTTGTTGGTTTTTCTGGTAGCTCCAGAGGCCGCAATTATGGCCCAAACTCCGTGAATTTTTGCATGGAGTAGGGGATCGGGCCATAGGATAAGCATGCTTGTTTTGATAAAGATCGGTCAATATTTAGCGGGACAAATGGACCCTGACTTTTGTGTGAAAAATGACATAATTTGTATCCTATAGCGTATAGGTTTAGCCCTGAAAAACATAGACCCGGGAAGTTGATAGTATACCCAAGAGGAGCGGTTGACCTTTAAATTGATACCAATTTTATTGTCGTATGTACTCGGATGTGGGGGTTACACTTAAATGTTTACAGGTGCTTACGTACTCAGATATTATTTAGTAGCCCATTACCACAATAGAGGGCGGAAATATAGCGATCATCGCTTTGAAATTTTTCACTAGTATCCAGGTATGGTCAAGAACAACGCCTATAATTTTTGGTGATCATCAGATAATAATGATGATCAGATAATAATATTCTTTTTTTGTTTGAGTTTTATTTTTATGCCTTTTTAGTGGTGGGAATGTAGTATCTCTCTGGCTTTCCTTTTCATTGCAACTCCGATCATGTAGCTCATCTCGAAAGAGAAATTAGTAATTTTTTTGTTTGTTGTTTTGGAGTCGATCTACAGGCCACAATTAAAAGCCGAACATCACAAAACAAGGCAATCTGGACAAGTAATTAGAAGGACTGTACTGAATAGTAGTAATATGTGTTGACCTCTAGTGGTTCAAGAGGGTGCAAACATCGAAATATTGCCCAAGCTCAGAATGTGGTGCCACAGAATGTTACATGTTCATGGAAGTTTTGTAGGGTATCATATGGTCGGCCCCGTCCGACTATACTGCTCCTCTCACAGGTTTTTGTTTAGCTTCGTGTACACCATACAAAATTACTATTTTGGCCTAAAAATGAATCCTATTGAAGTTGTTAAAAATCGGTTCAGAGTCAAAGAGGAATATTTGTTAAAAATGGTATATACCCTAAGTCGAACCCGTCATATTTTTGTCCTTTTCATACCCTCCACCATAAGGTGGAGTGCATATAAACTTTGTCATTCCGTTTACACCGCCTCGAAATAACCATAGGAGATTCCACAAAGTACATATATTCCAGATCAGTCTGTCTGTTGAAATCACGATAGAGATCGCAGTATTTAACATAGAGCTTTGAAATTTTACACAGACATTGCTAGTACGTCTAGGATATTTGGCATCCATCGTTAGAAGGGATTTGGACTAGAAGAAGATTGCATTTACACATAGACGTTTTCAATCTAAAGAAGATCTGGAGAAACTCTTCATCTATGGAATATCTGATGCAAATGTCTTACCTAAGAATGACTTCAAAAAGGTTTCCAATATATAGATGACCTGATTTTGGGTATGTTTTTACAAGTGAAATTGCCATAGTTTGGAATTTTGTGTTCTCAGTGGGTGACAAATCTTCTTACCAGTTTTTATTTTTTTATAGCTTTCCGACATTTTTATCGTCACGCGTTAGTTTTGGTATATTGATTGCCATAGACCCCAAATAAAAGTACCTTTCGATTTTATGTGTTTTTAATGACCACCTCTCCGACATTTAGACTTGTTTTATTTCGTGCTATTTTGTCTTGACTACATATAAAATTGTTTCTCCATTACAGCACACAAAACCCGAACCAACTGACCACGAAAAAGGTTGCCGTGGACAATTTGGTAACAGGCCATCACGACTGTATTGCATCTATAATACAACTACATCGGCATTTTTACGCTTAGCTCCATTAAAAATGGAAATTGTAAATATGGATCCCTATATGGTAATATATCATGATGTAATGTCCGATAAAGAAATCGACGAATTACAAAACCTGGCAAAACCAAAATTACATCGCGCCAGAGTATATAATCACGATGATGGCAAGGCAATCGCTATTCAAAGAAGAACATCGAAATTTTCTTGGTTCAAGGATAATTTCTCGAATACAACGATGCGAATAAATCAACGTATACGGGATATGACGGGATTCGATATTAGCGGATCGGAATTACTGCAGGTGGCAAATTATGGTTTGGGTGGGCATTACGATGGTCATTATGATTTCTTTAATGTTTCAGATGTAAGTGGGGTAATTGTGAATTTCAAAACGTTTATTAATGTGTTACAATCCTTTACAGTCTACTGAAGTTGTAAGGCTGCATGGCGATCGCATTGCAACCGTTTTGTTTTATGTAAGTTGTAAAGAAATTGTACAATGTTGAATAAAAAATATTAGTTTATGTATGTGTGTAGATGTCAAATGTGGAACAGGGCGGTGCCACGGTATTCCCCGAACTGAAAACTGCCGTTTTTCCTCGCAAAGGAACTGCTGTTATGTGGTATAATTTGAACAATAATGTTGAGTGCGACTTCCGTACTTTTCATGCTGCCTGTCCCGTTATTGTGGGTTCGAAGTGGGGTAAGTATGGGGTGGTAATTAAAAATTCAGTAAATGTTGATTGAGTATTTTTTTGATTATTTTAGTTTGCAATAAATGGATACGTTCTAAGGCTCAAATATTTACGAAACCATGTTATAAATATTAAGTTGTGATAAATAAATTCAATTTTTTTATAAAAAAATTAACGAATATGTGTACTCAATGAATAGAAGGTCAATATCAGACGGAGTATAATATGTTTATAGTATGAATTTTTTGGATAAAATAGTGGATTTCTTACGAAGTACATTTACAATATGGAAAAAATAACTACGAGTGAAATTATGCAAATATTCATTAATTATTTTTTTAATTAATTTTTTTTCTGTGTACTTAAAGTCAAGCACCCCTAAATGTTGTGTCCGCCATCTATTCCAGTCCCAGTAAACGTTTTTGATTTCTTTGGCATTGGGGTTTGAGTCGGAAAAATGTTTCGTCTTCGACAAATATTTTCAAAACGTGCCAATTGAACGCTATACCAGAAAGCGGAGTATTGAGGTCCAGATCTAGGGCTTGACAAAATTTCGCTATATTTGCATTTCCTTCTGTTGCAAAAGTAATATACAAACTTCTTCTTACTTATTCGTAGACACCTCTAGTGTATTAGGAGTTCAGATAAATTCAATTCAAACAATTTCAGATTAATGCTTGTTGGAAGAATGATATTTCGCAGTAAAAAAAAATATTTTGCTGTTTTTTGTTTGGTGCATTCAGTTGTGAGTTACAGGGTGTTAAGAATGGAAGTGAAAAAAAAGAAAATTCGGTAAATTTTACAGTTTCTCTTTAACAAATGAGAAAATGCAAGCCAAACGGCTAAAATTATGAATGGTGTTTATGGTTACGATACTGTAACAGCCAATTATGTGCAATTTTGGTTTCGTGATGTTAAAGATGCACCTCGTACAGATGCACCTCGTCGAAAATGTCGATAAAATCGGAGAAATGATTGAAGTTGACCGATATGTTAGCAGTCGTAACATCGCCCAGGAGCTAAAAATCGACATTCCCCAATCGATTGCCATGTTTTTACGGGTGAATGAACAACGTAGTTCGTACAGCAATATTCTTAATTCATGTCATCAGAGTTTATTGTTTCAAACTTTTTGTTTCTTGTTTTACACCAAAATTGTAACATATTTGCGTGAATCACATATGAATCTAAATAGAAAAAAATAATAATCTTTCTCCTGACTATAGTATGAATCCATATCTACTTACTTTTAATTCATGTTTTCCATTGTTGTATTAAATACATTTTTATATATGTTTGGATTTCTCCACATTTGTTTCTTGTTTTGTAGGCTATCTAGAACCAAAGGGAAAGAAATGCAATTGTTAGAGATAGCGATGAAAATTTTGTATGGAGAACTAAGTAATTACTTAATAATTTAGAGTCGAACAATGAATGAGAGAGTGAACAACGCTCGTCTGTACATGGCATAATAGTATATCATTGTGAATCGATATCTCTTCCCATTTACATCCAGCATTTTCTCAGAAGAGCTATGGTCACTGATTACACATGTTAAATCAGATATTGACAGTAAATTAATATGAATCCAGAATTGCGCATTAAATAAAAAAAACTAAATATTTGATTTCTTTACAGTATTTAAAACCAAATTAGCTTGAAATCGTATTTTAAATTATAAACAATTTTATTGAAAAGCTCGCTCAAAATTCCCAAACTACCAAATAATGTAGGGTCCGTTTATGTGAGACCTACGAACCTACCCGTGGGACCTACTCCGCAGATTGCAAACCCAATGGGAATTCAAAATTCTACAGTACAGGCAATTTGGTTGAAAAACGCGAACAAAATCTCCAAAAACCATTATTATAGTGGGGTATCCGCAAATAGTGAACCAAAATTAATAATTTTTGGTAAGAAAATGACCTACGCAATGCGAACCCGTAATACCCAATTACAGCCCATTTGCTTGAATGTGATACAAATATCTTCCAATTTCATCATCAGCATGATATGTTTGTAAAAGTCAATTTATTTTTTTTTATAAAATTTGTAAAGGTAATTTTCAACGGTTATTTAAATATCCTCTGACACTGCTTGACACTTGGTTCTGAAACTCATTTATTTAGAAAAAATCAAATTTATGAGTGTTATATGCTAAATGTTTGATTAATGTCATCAAATTATTGATCATTTTCACTTTCATTATCATCGCCAGTTCCATTGACTTGACCTTCAGTCCATGTTAATATTTTGACCCATGTCAATATTATAGAACATTTTCCAAATATAAATTATACACTGCGTATCATAACTATAGACGCAACCGTAATTCAATTGGTATGTTAGTTGAGAAATAAAATGGACCCATTAAGTTATTATTCACAATAAAACGATCAAAAACACATATTATTTAACAAAAATAATTAATTTATTCTTTATGGTTTCGCCGAATTCTGCACTTTCAAAATTGCTGGTGTTGCATAGCTATAGACGCACTTTTACAAAATTAGAAAAACTAATTTTTTAAAACTTAAATAAAATAAAATAACTTTTATAAATAATGGGTAGGGCCTCCCTTATTTTGAATAAGTTCAAAAAATTTATCCATCACACTGTTGATCAAAATTATTCGCAAGTTTTCATCGATTGATCGCCATTTATCGAAAATCACTTCTTGGAGGTAAAATACAGTTTGGTATTGGAGGTTTTCTGCATAGACAAGATGAGTCAAGATTCCACACATGTTCTCGATCGGATTCTGGTCGGAAATTTTAATATTTTTCGATTTTACCATACTTGAGTATGGCGACTTTTATGAACTGGTGCGTTGTCCAGGTAAAAAACGAGTCCTTGATTGTTGCTGCTTTCCCAAAATGGCAATAATTTGTCTTCCAAGACTTGAACGTACTCCATTGAATTCATCCGACAACATGGAAATGTCAAATAAATCATTCCGTGGATATAAAAAGCTCCCAAGGCCATTAAGGAACCGCCACTGAAATATCGTATTAAGAAATAACGATATTTAGGTAACCGTCACCTTGGGAGCATTTTATAGCCACGGAATGCTTTATTTGACATTTCCATGTTGTCGGATGAATTCAATGGAGTACGTTCAAGTCTTGGAAGACAAATTATTGCCATTTTGGGAAAGCAGCAACAATCAAGGACTCGTTTTTTAGCAGGACAACGCACCAGTTCATAAAAGTCGCCATACTCAAGTATGGTAAAATCGAAAAATATTAAAATTTCCGACCAGAATCCGATCGAGAACATGTGTGGAATCTTGACTCATCGTGTCTATGCAGAAAACCTCCAATACCAAACTGTATTTTACCTCCAAGAAGTGATTTTCTATAAATGGCGGTCAATCGATGAAGACTTGCGAATAATTTTGATCAACAGTGTGATGGATAAAATTTTTGAACTTATTCAAAATAAGGGAGGCCCTACCCATTATTTATAAAAGTTATTTTATTTTATTTAAGTTTTAAAAAATTAGTTTTTCTAATTTTGTAAAAGTGCGTCTATAGTTATGCAACGCCAGCAATTTTGAAAGTGCAGAATTCGGCGAAACCATAAAGAATAAATTAATTATTTTTGTTAAATAATATGTGTTTTTGATCGTTTTATTGTGAACAATAACTTAATGGGTCCATTTTATTTCTCAACTAACATACCAATTGAATTAAGGGTGCGTCTATAGTTATGATACGCAGTGTATTCACAATAATATGAAATTTTGACTTCGACCACAATGTTATGAAATTTTACTGGTGCAAAGCTCAAAGTCTCCAGATTTTAAGTATATAACGTTTTATCGGATCTCCATAAAATGGAGTTTTTGCAAAAAAAAAAAGGGTTCCTTCCACATCGAAATACATAAACCAGTGAGCGGAACAGTATAGTCGGACGAGGCCGACCATACAATACCCTACACAACTACCACAGAACTCTTACTTTCTACGGATGTGTATTTCTAGCCTCGGCAATATTTCGTGATATTTGCACCCTTTTGACCGATAAGAGATCAACAGCACCCCTTCCTTACACTGACATATTTTCCGAATTTTACTAATATCCGGTAAAGCCCTTCTAAGTACCTGTCCATACTCCCTTCATTGTGGGTACTCTTGTGATGTTCGGCTTATAATTGTGGCCTATCAACTCGAAAAAATACAAAAAAAATTAAGTTTTCGGTCCACTTCATCCAAAAATTATTATCTGATCAGCACCGAAAATTATAGGCGTTGTCCTTGGCCATAACTGGAACCTAATGGAACACTTCAAACCGATCAGCGCTATATTTCCACCCACTAGTGTGATAATGGCTTACTAAATAATATCTGAATACGTAATCACCTGTAAATATTTAAGTGTAGCTCCGACATCCGAGTACATACGACAATATAAGTGGTATCAATTTAAAGGTCAACCATTCCTCTTGGATACACTATCAACTTCTCGGGTCTATGTCCGTCAGGGGTTAATATATACGCCATAGAATAAAAATTTTGTAATTTTTCACACAAAAGTCAGGGTTTATTTGCATGTTTATTCTTTGGCCCGATCCCCTTGTCCATGAAAAATTTCGCGGTGTTTGGTCCATAATTGCGGCCTCTGGAGCGACCAGAATATCAGGCAAAAATTAAGTATTTGGTCCATTTCATCCCCTAAACATCAACCGATCATTACCAAAAACAGTAGGGGTCTTCATTGGCCATGCAAAATTTCCTGAAGATTGGTCCATAACTGTGGCCTGTATCGTGTTTACAAATTATAATGGACAGACGGACGGACGGACACACATGTCTAGATGGACTCAGTAGTCGAGATATGACAATCGGTATACTTAAAGGTGGGTCTAGGACCAATATTTCGCGGCGTTACAAATTTTTGGGGCTGCGCAAAGCTATAATACCCTGATAACATAGTTGTGTGGGGTATAATTAATATAAGTTGCCGATTGAACGATCCACTTCCCTGAATAAAATTTCGTGATGTTGAAGTCTTTATTAAAGCCACCCACAGACAAAAAAAACTTAAACTCATGTCTAGATCGACTCAGCTAGCCGAGATATCCGATCATCGGTAGACTAAATTTGGGTCTTGAACCAATATTTCGGGGTGATACAATATATTGGGGCCACACTAAATTAGAACAACCTCACAAAATTATATTGCAGTATAAATTTTAACAAAGTGATTTACAAATTTAGGTTAATGAAATATATAATTTCATTATTTATTTACATCTCAGTATTATTCAATACCCATGTTTAGAAACTACACCATCAGGTTTAACATCACATGGTCTTACTAACTCCTGTCCCACAGAATGAAACCAAACATTACCAACTGGAAGAAAATAAAAATTAATATATTAGTTCCTTAAAAAACCTCAATATTTTGCATCTTACTCCATTTGGAACCCTTCAGTACAGGACAACCAGCATGAGATGTACGATAATCTGGCTCTAAGGATCTATGTAAATTATACCATACCAGTAAGCTGTGTTTAATCGGTGGCACTGCAAGGCGTAATTGAGGAAATGCTGTTGCACCACCCAAATCGACATCGCTGAGCTTTAAAACGAAAGAAAAGTCAACATTGCATAGCTGCTACATTGCTTGACAGACATTTGCTACACAACAAATATATATTTTTTCAAAATTTACATACATAAAACATGGCGGTTAAAATACGATTGCCACTTTGTGCATAGTCGTCTTCTGGACTCTAAAATGATTAAATGCGTCAATTGGATATATTTCAACAATACTAATAGAGCAGTATTACCTCTGAAAAATCATTGTGTGTTCCATAGTAGCCACCAATACCATAATTTGTTACCGTCATATTTTCGGTCATATCCATAGTTAAACCGGTGATGTCGGCCAAACGTTTTGAAATGTTAGCCATAACTGGCGTATCATAACCCAGCCGTGATCTTTTACTAATTCGCACTTCATTAGCCTTTGTATTATTGTTACTACCAATCGCAGATTTTCCAATTTGAGTTTTGGATGTTTCAATAATTTCCTTAACTTCACGATCATAAATCACATCATAATATACAGCTACAAAGGGATCTATATTTAATTCCTCCAGTTTCAGGGGGCCCAATAAATAATATGGTAAATTATTATTGCAATAACGACAGTATAATTTACTTCGTACTTGAGTAGTCTGTTCGAGTTCCCCATTACAAAGTTCTTCATAGAGTTGTTGGTCTTGGGATTTTTCTTTTTCATTTTCGCTTTTAATAAATCGTGTGCGTCTATTAAGCTTCACTTTAGCTTCAAATAGTTCTTGATTCTTTTGTCCTCTTTCATTTTCTGGTTCCATATAAAGAAGTCGTTCATTCACAGCAAATGCCAACTCAGGTTTTCCACCATAGAATAAAGCTGGGCCTAAAACTTCTATAATTTCCACAATACTGACATAGGGGAAAATACCATAGTTTAGAGCTTCACTGTTCTCATTTACATTATTGGCATCGTGTGTAATATAGTATTTATCCCGATTCGAACTTACTTCATTTTCTATTTGAGAAAATGATTTTTCAATAACTTCCGTCATATTTAACGCCTCCAATAACCACTCACTGGCCGCTAAATATTCTTTGGATTCATATAGACTTTTACCCAAAATGTAACAATTATATGCTGACATTTCGGAGCTATAATTTCGATCTTTTATATAGCCTCTAGTAAAATTTGTAATATCTAATTTATAAATCTGCTGCAGGCGTGACAACCCTCTAGCGGCTCCTCTCAAATCATCATCTGTTGGCAGGGTAACAGCATCTTCGGGTATTTTTGATGTTTCATTATAAACTAAAATGAAATAACTTTATTTTATTAGATTTCCATATCACTGTGTGGTACAGGGTATTATGTCTTTGTGCATATTTTTGTAACAGGGAAATGGAATCGAGATAGACCCATGGTCCCTTTTGAGAATATGCATAGAATCACTTTCTAAATCGATTTATGCATGTCCGTCTGTCCGTCCGTCCATGTATTTTTGTGATTTGGATGAAATTTGGTTACAAAATTTTGCACAGCACAGTACTGACTTCAATCCAGCTCGATGTCCGTGAAGTTTTATTAAAATCGAATCAGATTTAGATATATCTAACATATACAGTTTCATCCTATTTTATGTAAATAGTGCACCAAACTCCCAATTATTGTCCGATTGATACAAAATGTTGCACAACGTGTAGAAATAGGTCCATATTGATGTATAAGAATTTGTGTGGAAATCTGTTCAGATTTAGATATTGCTCCCATATATAGTTTAGTCCGATTTTATGTAAATGTAGCACCAAAGGGTCAAATTTTGGCCGAATGGAACAAAATTTTGTACAGGTTACTGAATTAGGTCCAGTTTGATGTCCGCGAAGTTTTGTTGAAATATCGTCTGATTTTATGTAAATGGTGCACCTATGAGCCTACGTCTGTTCGATATACACAAGATAAAATTGTTGACAGCTTTACATATAGCTCCACATACATTATTTTGATCCATTTTATACAAAAGAATACGATTGACATGCAATCTTTCATCGATTTCATGGGTTGTATCTATGTAGGTCACACGTTTAGTATCGCTCGATTCCATTTCAATGGTCATCTAAAGATTATATATCTGTTCTATCTACAGGATAGTGTATATATTCGCATGTCTTGTAAGCATTCAAAGTGGTGGGTACCATATAGTCGGCCCGTCTGACTTTTGAACTTTCCTTACTGTTTTATACTTCACCAAGGACAAATTCTGACCTAACCTGAAACACTTGAGAAATGTCTTCGGTTGTGATAATGACAATGCAAACTTATGGGTACATAACTGATACTTGCAGATTCGTTACACGTTATAATGAACGGAGGGATTGCAACTACATACAGTACATGAGTTCTACATTTAGTTTCGATTAATGCCCTACTCACTTCTAATAAAGTCTTTATCATTAATAAAACTTGAGAACTAAGCCTGAGAAATGTTTACAGTCGTCAAAGTATGAACAAGGCTTCTTTGGAATACCGTCGAAACCCTGCAACCTATACAACATACCGGAAGCCAATTAGCTATATAAATAAAGAGAATTGTCCATTTCGGAGTGAGGATCAGCGAAAAGCATTGCGAAATGCATCCAGAAAAAGAAGCAGTTTGCTTCGGTTTATGGGATGGTGGCATAATTGGACCAAACATCTTCAAAGACCCTGTGAATCGCAACATAATTGTAAATTCCAATCTTGGACTACGCGGATGGACCATTTGAGGTGCAGTTGCGGTTAAACTTTGTGTGAAATAATGTACAAACATTAAATTATATGGACCGTACTATCGATTCAAATAAATATTTCATGGATGTTTTTAATTTACGTGTTTGATTTTTTTAAATCTAATATCTCTTAAAAAAATCGCCCGTTATATACTAACACTTTACTTTTGGCAATCGAAGAACCGACCGGGACGGACTTTTTTTTAAATTGGCACAACACTATGATAAAGTGAAGCCAGTAGAAACAGAAATATCAAAACTACCCACACACATGTGGTAAAATTGGAGCAGAACCTAGAACATACCAAAAATAACGCGTGATGTTTGTATAGAGACCTGGTAGAAACATGGACTTATATTATTCTGTGAAACATTGGTTTACCTACAAAGGTTTCGAAATGATGAATAACAGCCGTAAATACCTATGCAGGACATTAATACGGGAGCTATACTCAAAAATGGACCGATATTTATAACTTGTTACACCCTCAACCATAAGATGTATTATATATATATATATATATATATATATGAAATTAGTCATAAAGTTTGCAATATTCACTGGAGACCCCATAAACTATATATATATATATATATATATATATATATATTCTTGAATTATATTTAATTTTTATATGAAATTGAATTCGAGTTAATAAAAGCATGGCATTTTTACCAAAAATAATTTCATTGAAAAATATATGGTAATCACCGGAAGGTAGAACTTTTGTTGATTTATATAAATAAAAAATTAATATGTAACTGAGAGTCAACAGAATAATTTATGTTCATTTACGAGTCCATTACAAATCGAAGAAACAACAGAAGTAGGTCCTAGTAAACTTGGTGGACATAACCCAATGAATGTATATATAATTGTATTACCATACCTTCTACTTCTAGTATGTCTATCAATGTATATATAATTGTATTACCACTCCTTCTTCTTCTAGTATGTCTATCAAATATGACATTTTTTCTCTTATCTTGCATTTTCTTTTCTAGAAATAACAACTTCGAACAGTTATGTATTGTTCGAATTACCAGACACGTTTCTATATTTGATAAGACTTGCAATCTGTTTCGATTCTATAACAATATCTATTTACCTTTAATATTTTTATATTTACAATTTCACTAACCATATATTTACCTTTTAAACTTTCAATTTGTTGTGTCAACTTTAAAGCCTCCTGCCAATCTGCGGCAATTCTATTAATGGTCTTGAACACATTCACAGGATATTCATAATACAATTCCATTGAATTATTATTCACTTTGTTATATTCCATAGCCAGCTCATCAATTAAACTAAATAAAAACATTGTAATTAAAATTCAAATATTTATTTATTTAATCAACTTAATCAACGCACACACACGCACAATTATTTACCTATACAATCCACTTTTCAAACGCTCTACTTCATCAATATGTTCAATTAATGCCCAATGATAATGATTTTCCACCATCAGTAGTGTTTCCAAACCCGAAATTGATGTATAGTAATCATTGCATTTAATGTTGCCAACAGAAATGAAATAGAAAATTAAGCTTAAAATTCTTCTTCTCGACATTTCAACTAACTGCAGAATATTAAAGAGTTGGTTAGCATTTTCGAAAGTTCGTACTGCTTAAGGCAGTTACTTGAGATTTTACTATGAAAATATTTGTTTTGAATTGTTGAGACAAGTGCAGAAAATGTATGGAAGGTAGATAGAATGGTTTGCAATGTTTTCTATTTATCTAAGCAAATTATTCAAATGAAAATATATAATAATTGGAAATTTTGAAATGTGTTTATTTAAATTTGTTGCTATTGCAAAAATTAAATGCATTGTCAGAGTTTATAAATTGCTTCTTAAATAATTTTAATGTGAACTTATACTTTTAATGCAAAACTATGTTATTAGGCGGGGCCGACCACGGACTTTCAAAGCTATAAATTAACTTTCTAATGTGCACAAAAAAATTGTTTTTCAATATTACCGATTAAACTATAATGATTATTTTTGCCTAAAAACATGGTAGTTAGCAGCACCAGATTCAAGCATCTCGATATACATGCCCCACCTGGATTTCTCCTGATTAAACAACGAGAAATCATGTTGTGATAGACGGAAGACATTAATCTAGTGTATTAGATCGAGGAGCGATCTCCTCGATCGAGGAGCGAATATCGATTCAGACCACTACCATGTAGCCGAGGTTCGCACTCGTGTTAATGTTGCAGCAAAGGTGTGATCTAATGTAACACGGAAACTCGACGTCGAAAAGCTGCAAACACAACAGGTAGCCGAGGCCTACTCCGCTCAACTTACCCACCAGCTTGACGAAATCACTTCTTGTCCCGATAATAGTAAAGAAGCACAATGGCAAAGAATTGCTCACTCCCTACATACTGCAGCAAAAGCAACATTTGGGTACCAAAAACCACCTCCAAGAAACCTATGGTACGATCAGGAGTGTCGTAATGCTACTGATGTGAAAAAGGAAGCGTATAGGGCAACCTTGCAGACAGTAGCAACACGTAATGTGATGAAGAATTACAGGGAGAAAAGGAGAGAGGAAAAACGTGTTTTCAGAAAGAAGAAGAAAGAACAAGAAAAACGCGAACGTGAGCAAATCGAGATGTACAGGAGTCAGAATGAAGTCCGGAAATTTTACCAACGAGTAAAACACCAAACCGAAGGTTTTGGTGCATGCACATCCTCCTGTAGAGATGAAGAAGGGAACCTATGGACAGATACAGACAGCGTGTTGAGGATCTGGAAGGATCATTTTGAAAAACTTCTGGTATCAAGTAGTGGCAGTGAAGAAGAAACCCCAGAACGAATAAGAGATGGTGGTATAGAGTGTATAAGTGTAAGATGGTATAGAGTGAGGTCATAAAATCAATTAATCGGCTCAAGAACAATAAAGCAGCATGAGCCGATGGGTTACCAGCCGAACTATTGCAGACTGGTGGTCAGATGCTGGTAAGGAGCATGCACCAGCTGATTAGTACAATTTGGCTCGATGAATGCATGCCCAATGATTGGAACCTCAGCGTCCTGTGTCCCGTGCACAAAAAAGGAGACAAGACGATATGTGCCAACTATAGAAGAATTAGCCTTCTTCCCATGGCATATAAAGTGTTATCCAGCGTGCTGTGTGAACGATTGAAGCCAAAAGCCATATCTGCAAAATTAATACGGCTATGTGGGCTAACTGTGGCACGAGGTCAGCAGTTAAAGTAGGAAAGGACCTATCGGAGCCCTTCAATACCGAACGAGGATTCAGACAAGGTGACAGTTTGTCGGGTGATCTTTTTAACATCCTACTGGAAAAGGTCATACGAGACGCAAAGGTGAACAGAAATGACACTCTGTACACCAAACAACACATGTTACTCGCCTACTCCGATGACATCGATATAATGGGTCGAACATTGCTAGCGGTAACAGCCACCTTTGAACAAATTGAGAAGGTGTCTGCCAAAGTGGGTCTGGCAGTAAACGGCGGATCTACTGTGGAATTTGAGAACTACAGCTTCGAGGATTGCGATGGTCAACAGATGCTACTATGGTCTAAGTAAGCAGTTTAGAAATAAGGCCACCTCCCGTCAGACCAAACTCAAACTTTACAAGACGCTGATACTACCCGTGCTGTTATATGGATCTCAAGCATGGGTACTTAGGCAAGCAGATGAGGCAGCTCTTGAAGTGTTTGAAAGAAAAATTCTCCGAAAGATATATGGGCCGATCTGCGTCGACGGTGAATATCGGCGTCGTATGAACCACGAGCTTTACAATTTATACTCGGACATTGACATAGTCTGTCGCATTAAGCTGCTACGACTACAGTGGCTAGGCCATGCTTTACGAATGAAGGAGAATGCCCCAGCTTAAAAGGCATATAAATGATGGTTCCCGTAGAAGGGGAAGGCCACGAATTAGTTGGAAAGACCAAGTAGAAAACAACATTTTAAACGTGGCCTTCTAAATTGGTGGACATGTGCACTAGCTTTGATCCATTTCCGTATCGAATATCAAAATAATAAAGTTAAAAAGTGTCTGTCGTTGCTGCCGACTGATATATACCCTCAGCCTATGGTTTACAGAGGTCTTCGTAATTAAACACATGATTTATTATCCGCTTTATATAAGGTATGTTTTTATCAAATATATTTCAGATTTAACGTTGAACAAATCAGGTAATCAATTTGCTTGAATTTAATAAATTTTACAAGTTTATAAAATTTTGACCCTTTCTGGTTTAGGAATTGATCTAGCCTTTGTGAAGATTATATAATCGACTAATATTGAATTTATAAATATTGAAATGTTTAACCTTTTGTGGGAGAGGTACCACAAAGAGTGCACAATAAGTCCCATATTCGGACTTGATCTTGGTTTGGTAAAGATAATAGGTTGTGAAAGTTTGGTTCAAATAGGGAATTACATTTGCCTCAAATTGGATTTATGATTATTGAAAACTTTGACCATTTGTGGGGGAGGTACCAGAAGAAGTGGACTAATGGGTCCCATCTTCTTCATCTAGGTTTGGTAAAGATAATAGGTTGTGAATGACAGGATTTTTTTAAATAAGTTTAGTTTTGCAGCAGAAAAATCTCAATTCCGTTAGAATTCTCCAAATTTCCACATACATAAGAGGAATATAACAAAAATTTAGATGAAATCATAATAACACTGGTGGAGAATATGATGATTTTTCCTTATAAGTGCAAAATAATTGAGTTGTTTTTTATATTAATTATGACCGGCGCGGCCCTCGGTTTTTTTGTAACACAAATTCAGATTTAGCAAAAGGAGATTTTGGAAAGTCGGCATATTTTTTTAAATAAAGGGGGATGCGGAAAGGGCAACCACCAAGTTCCAAAATTACTTCTTAAAAATTGGAATTATTTTACAGATTTTAAAGAAATTGAAATGCCTACGAAAAAAAAATCTTTCGGTTTGCACATCTTCCAAAAATTCCTATATCTTTATAGATACGTTTAATATTTGTAAAATTGTATGATCGTTTTTCACAATATGAATGTAGTTGTTTGAAAGATTAATTTCTGGGACTCAGGTATATTGAATTTTTGGGTGTACTCTCCAAACATATTTTTCAGAAATCTGTATTGTCATACTTTACAAGGCGATGCCTTTCCTTTCACACAATACACTTGCCTCAATGCCCACATTAACTCTATACTTTAGTTATTATACCCTACACAACTATGTTGTCAGGGTATTATAGCTTTGTGCAGCCCCAAAAGTTTGTAACGCCGCGAAATATTGGTCCACCCACCTTTAAGTATACCGACATTTTCGACTAGCTGAGTCGATCTAACATGTGTGTTGTCCGTCCGTTCGTCTGTCCATTATAATTTGTAAACACGATACAGGCCACATTTATGGAACAATCTTCGCGAAATTTTGCATAAATTATGAAGACCCCTATTGTTTTTGGGAAAAACGGTAAAGAACTTAGGGGATAAAACATGCTAAATATTTGTCGGTTTTTCTGGTCGCTCCAGAGGCCGCAATAATGGCCCGAACATCGTTGATAAAGATCGGTCAATATTTAGCGGGTCAAATGGACCCTGACTTTTGTGTGAAAAATGACAAAATTCGTATTCTATAGCGCATATATTTACCCCTGAAGGACATAGACTGAAAGTTGATATTATATCCAAGAGGAGTGGTTGACTTTTAAATTAATACCAATTATATTGTTGCATGTGCTCGGATGTGGGAGTTACACCTAAATATTTACAGGTATCTCCGTCTTCGTATATTATTTATTAACCCATTATTACTTTAGAGAGCTGAACTATAGCGCTGATCGCTTTGAAATGTTCCATGAGGTTCCAGTTATGGTCAAGGACAACGCCTATAATTTTCGGCGATGATCAGATAATAATTTTGGAATGAAGTGGACCGAAAATTTAATTTTTTGTGTTATTTTATGTCTATTGACCACAAATGAAAGCCGAACATCACAACACAACCCACGGTGAAGGGCGACAATAGCTGCCTGAATTTCGTAATTTCGGAAAATATACACAATTTAGTTCCATGTAGGGCATCATTGCCCACATTAACTCTATACTTTAGTTGGTTTCAATATATCTAAAGATGTCCGTAACGTGAGCTATAGGTTCCTGAGCCCTCATCAAGGCATCTTTGTGATGTCAGTCCCTGAAAACTGGCATACATATACCTTTTTGATATAGCCCCATAAATGGTTAGCTGTATTTTAAGATTTGAACCGTATTTTCGGAATTTTGTGGATTTTACCATTGAATTTTCGAAACAGGTTCACCAGTTTATCTACCTGAGTGTCTTATTGTTTTTACTTGTTAAAAAATATATTTCCTTTTACTTTTTAAAGTGACTTATTATAATTATTATTTTATTTTGTTTCTACCAAAGACTGGAACTGATCATAGTAGCCCAAAATATCCTGAGTCACTTAAACCTATCAAATTTGGACGAATTCGACTATTTGATACATTTCACCACTTCACGGCCGAGGCCGACCATATTTTAACCTTCTCATCTCTCTTAACCAGAACATTTAATCATAAGCTTCGAATTTTATTAGCTTTCACACAAATGTCTTGCGTTATTTATATTTCATTATATTTCCTCCAGTAGTATCCATATACGCCATAGAATGCAAATTTTGCCATTTTTCACACAAAAGTCTGGGTCCATTTGAACCGTTAAATATTGACCGACTATAATAGAAAGAGCCATGTTCCTATAGCGTGTTTACTAATTATATTGGACAGACGGACGATAGAACACATGTGGCTAGATCGTGTCAGCTAGTCGAGATATGACGATCGGTATACCAAAATGTGGGTGTAGGACCAACATTTCGCGGCGTTACAAAACCTTAATACCTTTATGACATAGTTGTGGAATGACACCACAAAACTGGGGCAACTTTAAATTATCTAGAGGTTATCAAATAAAGGCAACCAATTAATTCAAAACATTCGATGAATATAATTAAATATATTAAAATATTTCGAAAATTGCTTCAGTACAAAGCAATCAGATAAAATATATTAGAAAAAAGCTTAAAAACATATTATAGCCCATAGTGACAAAAAAATCAGAACCAAAACATTGTCGATATACTTCTAAGAAACGAAAGAAAAAAGCAAAACAAAAGTACATAATTGAAAACAAACCTTATCTCCGAACTATAAATGGAACTTAAAATAATGGTATGTGCCGGCAAATATTACACACCAACAAATACTAGTTGGTGACGACCCAATAAACAAACAAATAAAGTTTCCATTTTGGCGTTGAGTGTTCAAACAAAAAATTATTGATTATAGCCGACGACATGTCTTCAAAATTGCCACGCAGTCGAACATCACCGGTACTGATAACAATTCAACGTTGGCACCTGTCTTCGATAATGGCCAATGCCGGTGATCGCTGACAATTGGGAAAGTAGTATGAAAATTCGTAACTAAGGTGGAGCATCGTCGCACAAACAAATAGTGGAGTAGCTTAGTTATTAAGTTCATGTCGTTAAAATGAGTCACGGGCGGTGTCGAGTTCCTAAATGTTTTCTAATAGTTTTATTGCTGAATGTGACAATCGTTTGTTCACATGAAGAACCCCAAGAACGAAGTATTTCCACTTCAATAGCGGGAATGGAACAGTTGTTGATGTCCGAGAAAATTCTAATCGACACTGTTGAGAAATATGCCGACGAATTACAGGCGAAAGTGAATGCGTTGAAAAAGTGAGAGTAATTTGTTTGTTTATTTTGAGAAAATATAAATGCTTATAATTAGTGATAAAATCAAAAACGAAAATTATAAATCAATAAACAAATAATCAATCATTTTAAACTAAAGCTGGTATAAGATTCAAAAGAATTAATTCCATCATTTGTGAATAAAAAGTTAAAGAAATATATTTATCTTTGTTCTGAAGAAAGGGGATTATTCAGATTATTATTATATAAAATCCTCATATTTGAAGTCAGCCAATATAAAAAATATATTTTGGAGAATATATGGATGAGTAAATTAATGTCTATAAATACTAACTAGCAAATGTGACTACGTGAAATCCTAGAGTTTTAGATATGGGTATTTATCAGTAAGAATATAAAAAAACTAGACATGTCACTCATTTATATCTATTGGGAATTTTGTTATAGATAACATGACAAATGAACTGAAGAAATTAGATTGATAATAAGTGAAAACAGGACCAAGTGTTTATACCCAGGGAGGTACCAGAAGGAGTGGATAATTGGTTGTGTAAAGTTTGGTTAATTTCGGGCATTCTATCAGCCTGATATTTTATTTATAAATATTTAAAATTTAAAAATATTTAAAAATTTTTGGGGGAGGTACCAGAAGGAGTGGGCCGATATTCCCCATCTGTGGAGGGTATATACACGATACGGCAAGGATGTGCCTCATCGAAATACTGGTTTTATGTCCCATGTTTCTTGGACAAAATCCATTCCAGACAATTTGGAGTCGATTTACGAATGTGTGTCCGTCTATCTGGCTGGCTGGTGCACACGATAACTCTCGAAAGCAGTAACTTATTTTATCTAAACATTTCACATCGTAAAATTTCTTCCAAACTAAAATCATATTCGAATATGAGGAATATCGTTCCACTCCTTCTGGTACTACCCACTCAAAATAGTAAACATTTTGCTAAAAATTAATTTTATAATACCATACGAGCGGACAATACGATTTGAATCAAACTTTGCATTTGAATCTTTAGCAAGCCTAAATCAAGTCCGAAGATATGACCCATTGGTCTACTCCTTCTGCAACATGCCCCGCAAAGGGCCAAAATGTTCACTATTTATAAATCCAATATGAGGCCAATGGAGTGTCTGAATTGAACCAAAAATGGGATCCATTGGTCCACTATTTCCGGTACCTCCTCCACAAATGGTCAATAATTTTAAATCCAATATCAGGCGAATGCAATGTCCGATTTAAACACAATTTTTCACAAACTATTATCTTAACGAAGCCACGATCAAGTCCGAATGTGGCACCAGTAGGTCTTCTTCTTCTGGTATCTCACCCACAAAGGGTCAATATTTCATAAACATTAAAATTTAATTTTAAGCGAATGGAATAACCAATTCGATCAACATTCAACCCGATACCTCTTAGATAAAAACATATACCTGATATAAAACGAATAATAAAACTTGTGTGTAATTCCGAAGATTTCCACAAACCATAGCTGAGGGTATATGTCTGTCGGCTACACCTACTGACACTTTTTACTTGTTTTATAATTTTTGATAGTAAAAATGATTCAAACGATCATCGCCATTACAGGCATATTGGGTGTACCAGGTGTCTCCAGAGACAAAATATAGAATACAAGTCCATTATTTACTTTTCACAAACCTAAGAGGAGAACACATTTATGTAGGTCTCTTATAATACATCTTCAATGTCAGATATTTATTAGGTATATTTTAAAATATCTTCAAAATCTGATATTTTATAGGAAGAATGGTCTTCCACAGAAAGAAGGCCTTCCTTCCGTCTTCAGTGGACCGAAATGCTTCTTAAGGTCTTCTGTAGACAGTGAAACTTCATTAAATATTTTATATATTGACAGATGATATTGCCAATATATAAAATTCTATACTGAACGTGTCCCTTTTACAGGTACATATGGAGAACCCATCCTATAAGAGTCTTCCATAGGCAAAAGACCTTTAATTAGGTCTTCAATGGATTGAATAATTATTCTTATCTTTCATAGGCATCCTTCTGATCTTCTAAAGACAGAATAATTCGAGCATAAGACAGACAACACGAAGAAGGTATTTAGACAGAGTCCTTCTTCAGTTTTTTATACAGACACAAACATATCGAAAAGACCTTCATCTTCGGTACTTCCATAGACCAACAGACATTAGGGCGGGCCAATTTGCTTGGAGCCGAACAAATCGATTAAATCCAGCCCATAGGATGATTCTATGGGTAATTTTAAGCAACTTTGGTGAGGGACGCATAGGTCTAACTCGATTTTTGAGTCCGCACTTTAAAAAAAAAATTCCTATAACATCAATTTTATTCAAACTTCGATTTTTTTTATCTATTTTAAGCAACTATGGTGAAGGAACCATAGATCTATATCAATTTTCGAGTCTCCCACTTTTCAAAAAATGATTTTCCCATAACATTTTGATTCAAAATTCGATTTTTATCAATTTTACCGAAAAACTTGTAATTTTTCTCAGAAAATAGACGAAAAATAGTTAAAATATGTATGAAACGCCATCGGCGGTGGTCAAAGATAAAAATAAAGATCAGAAATGAATTTCTCGACCACAAAAACGATGAATAAAAATTCTAATTTGGAATCAGCATGATGCTATAGGGAAATATATTCAATAGAAATATATTTCTTCTCATATATATACAAACAGAATACCCATATTCTGTAGTCAGAAGACCTACTTTGAGACATAACACATTTGTTTCTGAATTCTACATAGACTATCTTACTTCTATAAACATATATTCTAAATACAGAAAAACTCCTATAGATCGTCAAAAGACAGACAAAATGGAGAAGATATTAAGACAGAAACCGAATAAGGCCTTCCTTAATTTTCTTAACAAACTAATCATGTACGGACTACTATCTTCATATGAAAAAGACCTATTTCTCTACTGACGAAATACCATTTACAGATCTTTTATAGATACATTTTCTTTGTGTTTTCTACACATTTTCTACAAACCATATTTGAAATATCTAAAAACGATCATCTAGAAGCAGAAACAGAAAAATTTATTGAAGTATACTTCAATCATATCATGATTGTCATATCGCGCATTTGCAGCAAGAGAGGCATAACTCAAAAAACGGGAGTTAATGATGCACGATTGTTCGCTATAATAGATGTTGTGCCCCTTCCCCCCTAAATGAAATCCTGTGTACGTTGCTGGAACTCATGTTGTATAAAAATGTATATGAATATCTCTTACACACTCTAATTGTGAAGCTGTAGAAGTTCCTCTTCCCATATAAATTGTGAGTAAATTGAAAACCTAAAACGCATTTTCAGCAAAATCGATTTTTTTAGTTATGCCTGTCTTGCAGCAAATGAGCGATATCATAAAATCACTTCCGTATCTTTTATGGAAATTATCTTCTTATTTATTAGTATTTTTCCTCGTTTTGCAGTTAAATTTAATAAAATATTTTATTACTGATTATGTATTCCATTTATTTATGTTTTTCTTTTAGTTTAGTAAACGACTTAAGGAAGGAAAATGATAAAGGTATACAAAATCCTGAAACGTATCTTCACAATCCTCTAAATGGATTTTCGCTAATACGTCGTATGTATTATGAATGGAACAATATTGAAATGTATATGGAGAAACCAGTTGGTGAATGTAAGTCAAATGCATGATATTAGATAAGATGTACAACATATCTGCAATAAATTCGAACATATTTCTCTGCAGCTCATATAGAGGTAATACGATCATATCGACCTGAAATGCCAACATCGAATGATATAACTGAAGCTTCAGAGGCCATACATCGTCTGCAGACCACATATGATATGCGCATCGATGATGTTGTCAAGGGTATATTGAACGGGAAGCAATATAAGTGAGAACCATTTAAAATTGTATTTTTTATCAAAATTAATAAAATTATTAAAATTCTATTATATCTCCTTGACAGTGCAAAATTAAGTTCAGTGGATTGCTATTTTATGGGCCTGCATTTGGTTTCAAAGAAAAACTTTTACCTCGCTGGATTTTGGCTGTACAATGCCATTGAAAACTATAAGAATACAGATTATTATAAAATCATTGATTATGGTCGGGATAAACCGAACGCGTTGTATGCTGATGTTTTAGCCAAACAAGGTAAGTGAGGGATAGCTATCCCGAAGCAGGAGTTTTAAGGATTCACCTTGTCGTTGTTTTTGTAGTTCGTTTCAATGATGCATCATCGGTAAGTTTATTAAATTATGAGGAATTATAAAAAAATGAAACATAGGAATAACTTCTTCATAGGAATGACTTCCATACTGAAATATTTTTTTGATGAGAGATGAGATATTTTAGAATTATTTTTGTTGAATTTTCAGACCTGAAGAGCGAATAATTATGATTTTTGGATTGGATTTCTTAAGGAATAATTTTTCAAGGGCTATCCAAGATGAATATTTTTTCAAGGGCTATACAAGGCGTGGATTTTTTAAAGAATAGTTTTTCAAGGGCTATACAAGGCGTGGATTCTTTCAAGAATATTTTTCCAAGGGCTATACAAGGCGTGGATTCTTTCAAGAATATTTTTCCAAGGGCTATACAAGGCGTGGATTCTTTCAAGAATATTTTTTCAAGGGCTATACAAGGGCTATACAAGGCGTGGATTCTTTAAAGAATATTTTTTCAAGGGCTATACAAGGCGTGGATTCTTTAAAGAATATTTTTTCAAGGGCTATACAAGGCGTGGATTTTTTAAAGAATAGTTTTTCAAGGGCTATACAAGGCGTGGATTCTTTAAAGAATATTTTTTCAAGGGCTATACAAGGCGTGGATTCTTTAAAGAATATTTTTTCAAGGGCTATACAAGGCGTGGATTCATTAAAGAATATTTTTTCAAGGGCTATACAAGGCGTGGATTTTTTAAAGAATATTTTTTCAAGGGCTATACAAGGCGTGGATTCTTTAAAGAATATTTTTTCAAGGGCTATACAAGGCGTGGATTCTTTAAAGAATATTTTTTCAAGGGCTATACAAGGCGTGGATTCATTAAAGAATATTTTTTCAAGGGCTATACAAGGCGTGGATTCTTTAAAGAATATTTTTTCAAGGGCTATACAAGGCGTGGATTTTTTAAAGAATATTTTTTCAAGGGCTATACAAGGCGTGGATTTTTTAAAGAATATTTTTTCAAGGGCTATACAAGGCGTGGATTTTTTAAAGAATATTTTTTCAAGGGCTATACAAGGCGTGGATTCATTAAAGAATATTTTTTCAAGGGCTATACAAGGCGTGGATTCTTTAAAGAATATTTTTTCAAGGGCTATACAAGGCGTGGATTCTTTAAAGAATATTTTTTCAAGGGCTATACAAGGCGTGGATTTTTTAAAGAATATTTTTCAAGGGCTATACAAGGCGTGGATTTTTTAAAGAATATTTTTTCAAGGGCTATACAAGGCGTGGATTTTTTAAAGAATATTTTTTCAAGGGCTATACAAGGCGTGGATTCTTTAAAGAATATTTTTCAAGGGCCAACTGAGGCGTGGATTTATTAAAGAATATTTTTCAAGGGCCAACTGAGGCGTGGATTTATTAAAGAATATTTTTCAAGGGCCAAAGGCGTGGATTTATTAAAGAATATTTTTTCAAGGGCTATACAAGGCGTGGATTTTTAAAGAATATTTTTTCAAGGGCCAGATTTTTAAAGAATATTTTTTCAAGGGCTATACAAGGCCTGGACTTATTAAAAGAATATTTTTTCAAGGGCTATACAAGGCGTGGATTTTTAAAGAATATTTTTTCAAGGGCTAACAAGGCGTGGATTTTTAAAGAATATTTTTTCAAGGGCTATACAAGGCCTGGACTTATTAAAGAATATTTTTTCAAGGGCTATACAAGGCCTGGACTTATTAAAGAATATTTTTCAAGGGCTATCTGAGGCGTGGATTTATTAAAGAATATTTTTCAAGGGCCAACTGAGGCGTGGATTTATTAAAGAATATTTTTCAAGGGCTAACTGAGGCGTGGATTTATTAAAGAATATTTTTCAAGGGCCAACTGAGGCGTGGATTTAAAAAAGAATATTTTTCAAGGGCCAAAAAGGCGTGGATTTTTAAAGAATATTCTTTCATGGATTTTTTAAAGAATATTTTTTCAAGGACTATACAAGGCGTGGATTTTTAAAGAATATTTTTTCAAGGGCCAACTGAGGCGTGGATTTATTAAAGAATATTTTTCAAGGGCCAACTGAGGCGTGGATTTATTAAAGAATATTTTTTCAAGGGCCAACAAGGCGTGGATTTTTTAAAGACTATTTTTAGGGCTATACAAGGCGTGGATTTTTAAAGAATATTTTTTGAAGGCTATACAAGGCGTGGATTTTTTAAAGAATATTTTTTCAAGGGCTATACAAGGCGTGGATTTTTTAAAGAATATTTTTTCAAGGGCTATACAAGGCGTGGATTTTTTAAAGAATATTTTTTCAAGGGCTATACAAGGCGTGGATTTTTTAAAGAATATTTTTCAAGGGCTATACAAGGCGTGGATTTTTTAAAGAATATTTTTTCAAGGGCTATACAAGGCGTGGATTTTTTAAAGAATATTTTTGGGAGGCTATACCAAGGCGTGGATTTTTTAAAGAATATTTTTGGGAGACCCTAACAAGGCGTGGATTTTTAAAAGAATATTTTTTCGAAGGGCTATACAAGGCGTTGATTTTTTAAAGAATATTTTTTCAAGGGCTATACAAGGCGTGGATTTTTTAAAGAATATTTTTTCAAGGGCTATACAAGGCGTGGATTTTTTAAAGAATATTTTTTCAAGGGCTATACAAGGCGTGGATTTTTTAAAGAATATTTTTTCAAGGGCTATACAAGGCGTGGATTTTTTAAAGAATATTTTTTCAAGGGCTATACAAGGCGTGGATTTTTTAAAGAATATTTTTTCAAGGGCTATACAAGGCGTGGATTTTTTAAAGAATATTTTTTCAAGGGCTATACAAGGCGTGGATTTTTTAAAGAATATTTTTTCAAGGGCTATACAAGGCGTGGATTTTTTAAAGAATATTTTTTCAAGGGCTATACAAGGCGTGGATTTTTTAAAGAATATTTTTCAAGGGCTATACAAGGCGTGGATTTTTTAAAGAATATTTTTTCAAGGGCTATACAAGGCGTGGATTTTTTAAAGAATATTTTTTTATACAAGATTCTTTAAAGAATATTTTTTCAAGGGCTATACAAGGCGTGGATTCTTTAAAGAATATTTTTTCAAGGGCTATACAAGGCGTGGATTCTTTAAAGAATATTTTTTCAAGGGCTATACAAGGCGTGGATTCTTTCAAGAATATTTTTCCAAGGGCTATACAAGGCGTGGATTCTTTAAAGAATATTTTTTCAAGGGCTATACAAGGCGTGGATTCTTTCAAGAATATTTTTCCAAGGGCTATACAAGGCGTGGATTCTTTCAAGAATATTTTTCCAAGGGCTATACAAGATTCTTTCAAGAATATTTTTCCAAGGGCTATACAAGGCGTGGATTCTTTCAAGAATATTTTTCCAAGGCCTTTACAAGGCGTGGATTCTTTCAAGAATTTTTTTCCAAGGCCTTTACAAGGCGTGGATTCTTTCAAGAATATTTTTCCAAGGGCTATACCTAAGTCAAATAAACTAAATAAATATTCTCTCTCTTTTTGTAGGTTACTAAACCCAATCCCAGTGCCTATGAACTGGGATGTCGGGGCCTTTATGACAACAAACCATCTCAGCTGTATTGTATCTATAATACAACAACATCGGCCTTTTTACGCATCGCTCCATTAAAAATGGAAATATTACGATTAGAACCATATATGGTGCTGTTCCATGATATAATATCGGATCAAGAAATTCTCGATTTACAAACATTGGCAAGACCGAATCTCAAACGTGCAACTGTTTACAGTAAATCCGAATCGAAATCTGTAGTTGCCGATAAGAGAACATCGAAATTTTCATGGTTCCAGGATAATACTTCGAATACCACGATACGTTTAAATCAACGCATTCGCGATATGACCGGTTTCGATATACAAGGATCGGAAATGTTGCAAGTAATGAATTATGGTCTGGGCGGACATTATGATACGCATTTCGATTTCTTTAATGTTTCCGATGTAAGTAATACTAAGTATATTTGCCTGTCCATATAATTGAGATTAAAAAAATATTTGCAGACATCTGAAGTTGTACAGCTAAATGGTAATCGCATTGCAACGGTTTTATTTTATGTGAGTATATTTTCGAAGATCTTTAGGTTTTATATTATAATTTAACTATTTTTTATTACCAGATGTCCGATGTGGAGCAAGGTGGTGCCACAGTCTTTCCCAATATCAAAACAGCAGTTTTTCCTCGCAAGGGCACCGCTGTCATGTGGTATAATCTGAACAACAAAGTTGAAGGTGATTGGCTTACCCTACATGCAGCATGTCCGGTCATTGTTGGTTCGAAGTGGGGTAAGATGAATGTCTTTTTCAATTTCAGAAATATCGTATTTAAATTCCGTTTTGCTTTTTCTTTCAGTTTGTAACAAATGGATACGATCTAAGGCCCAAATGTTCAGAAAACCTTGCTATAAGTAATTAATTTAAAAAATGTGATAATAAACGAATTTATATATTTTTTTTAAGTATATTTTTTCTATTGGAATAAATTTTTAAAAGCTTAAGATTTTAAAGTTATATCTTTCAGGAAGTTTCAGAGGCAGAAGCTTGGATTCTTTCAAGAAATTCCACAAAACGTGGATTTTTAAAGAATACTGTTAAGAAGGTCCCCAAAACTTTGATTTTTTAAAGAATATTCTAGTAAGGACTATCAAAGACGTTGGCTTTTTTAAGAATAGTTTTTCAAGGACTATCACACTCTAAGCTTATTAATTAATAGTATTTCAAGGTTTATCACAGGCTAGGCTTTTTTAAAGAATATTCTTGCAAGGACTATCACAGGGGTGGGTTTTTTAAACAATATTTTTGCAAGAACTATCACAGGCGCGGAGATTTTAAAGAATATTTTTGCAAGTACTATCACAGGCTAGGCTTTTTAAAGGACTTTCCTGCAAGGACTATCATAGGCGAGGATTTTTAAATATGTTTTTTTCAAGGACAATCACGGGCGAGAATTTTTTAAAGAATATTTTTGAAAGGACTATCACAGGCGTGGGGCTTTTGAAGAAAAATTTTCAAGGACTATCACAGGCGTACGATTTTTAAAGAATATTTATCAGATAATTTTTTAAATACTATCACATGCATGGGATTTTAAGGAACATGTGTTCAAGGGGTTCCGCAAGTGTGTAAAGAAAAAATCAAGGGTTTCCACAACCGTGGATATTTTAAAGAATATTTTATAACGGGTTCTTTAATGAATAATATTTGAAGGGGTTCCACCAACGTATATTTTCAAAGATCAATAACAATATTGCAAGTGGTTTCACAACTGTGGATTCTTAAAAGAAATTTTTTGTCAAGGACATCAGAATGCGTTAAATACATACCTTCCTAACCATCCCTATTCTGATGTAAGCTATTTTAACTTATTTCTCAATTACTATACTGAATTTGCACAGAAATTGCATTATATTCCAAAATTTCAGTAACCACATTTGTACTCCCTTTGTGGAAGAAATAGCCTCTTATTTACTACAATTTGGCTACAGGGGCGAAATTTTCAGGCCAGTAGTCCTTAGTATGCTCTTAAATTGCACATTTAACAAAAATTTATTTGATTTTTAACACATATTATAAGTTTCATAAAACGGTATTTTTCGTTGTGATACCGTGTTAATTTCTTTTGCTTTTTCACACATATAAAATCTACACATTTTCCTCTAATCAATGTCGAAGAAATCATGAAAATCCATTAAGTACTTTCCGAGATATTACCGTTTAAAGTTGGTCGTGTAACAAAATATAGCTACTAGTCGGTTCTGTTTGCCTGTTACATGAAAATGAAAAATCACCAAAATCCACTTTTGACAAAAATGCAAATTCGTTTAGGGTTGCCATGCTGATATTTAAGTGGTTTCTACATAAAGAAAAATAAATGAATAAAATTCAGAGCATATTTTAAGGCGCCTAGAAAAAATAAAATAATGCCTTAATTAGAAATCGAATATACCGGCAATTATATACCAATTTTTATGATTTTTTGGACAATTTTTGAGGAAAAATTTAGCTGATTTCATACGAAAAGAGTCTACACTAACTTCTCGGTACGACAAATGTTTTATGTTTAAATATATAAACAATTTATTGAAGCTTTATTATTATAGAGCATTAAAAAGTGGTTTTTTACTGACTGAAAACTTTAAGTATTTTATACATTTTAGCCCTATTGCTGATATTTTCTAAACTTAAGACCTTGTTGGTCTTCCTTAATATAGTTTTTTTTTTTTTTAATTTTGTCTTTTACAATTTTCCACTTACCATATCGTTTGTATTCCTCCCTAATTTTCCCATGTAAATAAAACGCCATTAGTTATCGTTTTTCACAAAGTTTTATATATAGCATTTCCACATTAAATGAAACCTTTTACAAATTAAATGAACCCTTTTCCAAATTAAATGAACCCTTTTCCAAATTAAATGAAACCTTTTCCAAATTAAATGAAACCTTTTCCAAATTAAATGAAACCTTTTCCACTTGAAATGAAACCTTTTACAAATAGAATGAAACCTTTTCCAATTGAAATGAAACCTTTTACAAATAGAATGAAACTTTTTCCAAATTAAATGAAACCTTTATTCTTATCTAAGGAAATATAATATTTGCACTAATTTTAAACCAATATTTGAAAATTAAATCAAAGAATATTAACAAATATAGTTGTATGGCTATGTAATTAACATAAATATTCTTTAATTCGGTGCGATTTCATTTAATATCTTTACTACATAAAACTAAATAAATAGTAATACAAACTGGGGTATTTCTTGACATTTTAATAAATAAATATTTAAGAACAGGAATTGAATAACCGGTCCTAAATGCGAAATACATATTTGACTTAATAAATTGTTGATGATAAGGTAACTGCTTATCTTAATGAAGGGGTTCCCGACTTGCAGCTTGTGGGATTTTCAAAACCATGTCCATAACGTAGTTAGAACAATCTTGCCGAGTAAGCTTTTGAATACTTCGCTCGATTACATCAACAATGTTATGTTCCATTGAAACGTCACACAGCTCAGCTCTTGCACATAATTTTATTTTTGAAAATGCATTTTCGATTGGATTTAGCATTGGAGAATAAGGCGTTAAGAATTTAAGGTTGCATCTTTTGGATTCGATCAAATTTTGTATGTCATGTCGCTTGTGTATTTGAGCGTTATTTTCCAACTCTGGATTGATTTTCTCAAAAAAAATTTCTATAAATAATTTAAATCTGTCTGCATTGACACTGGAATTAGAAACGATTGTGTGATGTACAACTCCCGCGTTGTTTATTGCTGCAATTATAGTGACATTTCGACCTCTGACCGTAGGCAACACAATGTGTGCTCTTGTTCCTTGTCTTGAACGGGCTTGGGTTCTTCGTATGTGAAGATTAAATCCACACTCATCAATGAATATAAATTTTTCTCCTTGTTGAGGTATCCATTTTGTAAAGTCTTGAGCATATTTTTGTCTCAAGCCTAATGTTCTGGAGTCATTCTTTCGTTCTATTTCAATAGAGGCCATCTTAAACGTAATTTTTAATTTCCGTAATCCATATTCTATGCAGCTTATGGAAATATTTATATCATTTTCTCTCAACAGTTTAGTTTTTATAGCTTTGAAGGTAATTCCAGGTTGACGTTCTACATAGTACTCGATCAGACTTAAAACTTGTGATGTCAACAACTTAATTATATTTCCTCCACGCTTATTTTCCTTCAATGTTCCAAAATGTTGTTTGTAATTACTTCACATTGTCGAGAGTTTACTGTTTTGGATGTTCACATTATCGAGAGTTCACTGTATTTAAAAATAGCAACGTTTAAAATAAATGCGAACCTGATTTTAGCTCGGAAAGCTCTGATAATTGGGAACCTGAGGAAGAATCAATACCTGAGGAAGAATATATATCCAAGTATTGCAAGTGGAAATGCTCCAGAACCTACCGAAGCTACATCTACAAGACCCCGAAACAAATTGGGTCAGTATAACAAAATAACAAAAGACATGAAATTGTTATTATTTAAATTCTATGAAGAGGGGAGAACCATTTCCGAGGCTACAAATTTAACCTGCATAAACATAAATTCCGAAAAACATTTATAAGAAGATACAAACAAAATTTTGGAACATTGAAGGAAAATAAGCGTGGAGGAAATATAATTAAGTTGTTGACATCACAAGTTTTAAGTCTGATCGAGTACTATGTAGAACGTCAACCTGGAATTACCTTCAAAGCTATAAAAACTAAACTGTTGAGAGAAAATGATATAAATATTTCCACAAGCTGCATAGAATATGGATTACGGAAATTAAAAATTACGTTTAAGATGGCCTCTATTGAAATAGAACGAAAGAATGACTCCAGAACATTAGGCTTGAGACAAAAATATGCTCAAGACTTTACAAAATGGATACCCCAACAAGGAGAAAAATTTATATTCATTGATGAGTGTGGATTTAATCTTCACATACGAAGAACCCAAGCCCGTTCAAGACAAGGAACAAGAGCACACATTGTGTTGCCTACGGTCAGAGGTCGTAATGTCACTATAATTGCAGCAATAAACAACGCGGGAGTTGTACATCACACAATCGTTTCTAATTCCAGTGTCAATGCAGACAGATTTAAATTATTTATAGAAATTTTTTTTGAGAAAATCAATCCAGAGTTGGAAAATAACGCTCAAATACACAAGCGACATGACATACAAAATTTGATCGAATCCAAAAGATGCAACCTTAAATTCTTAACGCCTTATTCTCCAATGCTAAATCCAATCGAAAATGCATTTTCAAAAATAAAATTATGTGCAAGAGCTGAGCTGTGTGACGTTTCAATGGAACATAACATTGTTGATGTAATCGAGCGAAGTATTCAAAAGCTTACTCGGCAAGATTGTTCTAACTACGTTATGGACATGGTTTTGAAAATCCCACAAGCTGCAAGTCGGGAACCCCTTCATTAAGATAAGCAGTTACCTTATCATCAACAATTTATTAAGTCAAATATGTATTTCGCATTTAGGACCGGTTATTCAATTCCTGTTCTTAAATATTTATTTATTAAAATGTCAAGAAATACCCCAGTTTGTATTACTATTTATTTAGTTTTATGTAGTAAAGATATTAAATGAAATCGCACCGAATTAAAGAATATTTATGTTAATTACATAGCCATACAACTATATTTGTTAATATTCTTTGATTTAATTTTCAAATATTGGTTTAAAATTAGTGCAAATATTATATTTCCTTAATTTGGAAAAAGTTTCATTCTATTTGTAAAAGGTTTCATTTCAATTGGAAAAGGTTTCATTCTATTTGTAAAAGGTTTCATTTCAAGTGGAAAGGGTTTCATTTAATTTGGAAAAGGTTTCATTTAATTTGGAAAAGGTTTCATTTAATTTGGAAAAGGGTTCATTTA